AGATCTTCACTCGCGAACTCCCGCTGCGAGGAGAGATTACAGACTAGACCTACTTAGAAGCACACAGGTAGACAGGCAGACACTGAGTCCAAGTGGAAATGATCACAAACAGCTGAATGCCAACTCACATAATAATAGCTACCACTCTGGAAGGCTCCCCACTGTTCTGAATGCCTGAAATATTTTCGCCGGTTTGATGTTCACAACAGCCCTGAGAGGAGGTCACTCCCACTAGTCTTCCCATTGGACAGGTAAGGAGACTGAGTCCAAACAGGTGGAGCAACTTGCCGAAGGGCACGTGGCCGGCCGCCTCCACGGGGACAGGTTCTAGCTTCCCTGTGTTGGGTTGTGTCACTGTATCTGGCCAGGACCCAGCCCTTGGCAGGCCCACGTGCGTCCTTTAGGGACAAAACAATCTGTCCTGGGGAAGGAGGTCATTGATGGGTCAGTCTCTAGTTGTACATGACTCGGGTCTCACTTATGACATGCCACCCGGGTCCCAAACCCTGAGCTCTGCCGTTCGGGGTCAGGGGTGAGAAGAACAGACCCTCTTTCAACCCTCTTAGAGTCTACTGCCTAACACAGGACACAGGCGAGAAGCCGGTGATGGCCGATGGCAGGACAACTATGTCATCACAGACAGGGGAGATGCCAGGGCAGAGTTGGAGACAAGCTCTAAGGGGACTGTCTGGAGGTCTTTGCTAAGGACTGGACAACTGATGAGACCAAAAGGAGAGCAGGAAGTCACTTGGGGAAAGGTGTGGGGGAGGGGCGGGTTCCAGGCAGAGGGATCAGCTTGTGCCCAGCCCGGAGGTCAGAGGGCCAGGTGCACAGGCAGTTCGGGGAGCGGGTGTGTGTGGGGGGCGCTTGCTGACTGGGAACCGTGCTTGTGACTCAGTGTGTCCTGGGCATCCTGTCTAAACAGGAGGGTGCTAAAGCACACACACTGGGGGCCTCAGATGCAGGCCCTGTGGGTGACAGTGCTACCACCCGGGTGAACCCCCAAACACGGTGCAAGTGAAGGCAGCCACAAAATGTGGGATTCCACTGATGAGAAAGGTCTAAAACAGGCCAATCCATGGAGACAGAAAGTGGGCTCATGGTTGTTGGGGGCGGGGGTGGGGGCTGGGAGTAGATTGCTCACGAGGTTTCCTTTTGGGATGATGGAATGTTCTGGAACTAGCTAGTGGTGATGATTACATAACTTCGTGTAGTACACTAAAAATCACTGAACTATCCTTTAAGGGACCGATTTTTATGTACATGAACTACTATATATCTCCATTATATATAAGTACGAATAAAGTCCTAACTCTGAATCATACAGGCCTTGGCTTTCGGCCCCTCACTCTGCCACCCTCCAGCTGTGTGACCCTGGGCAAGTGGCTGTACGTCTCTGAGCACTTGTGTTCCCTTTCTGTCAAACGCAGGTACTAACCGTCTAGTAGGGTTGTGGTGGAGACGAAGAGACAGCAGAGTGAAAGAGCTGGCCCCGCACCCCGTCAGCAGTTTTTATATTGCTCCTCCCAACACCACTGCCATCTCTCTGTCTCACTCCTGGCCCCTCAAGAGAGCCTCGTCCGAGTCCTAGTCCCCAAGTCCAGAGCCTAGTCCTCGTGATTCATGACATGCTCACAAGGCCATCTTCCTTTCCCCGGGCAGGGAGAGTTCAAAGAAACAGCTAGAATCCTAAAAATCCTTGACGCCTGGTGTATTTACACACCAGTCACCATGCGCATGATTCTGTGTCCACGTTTGTGTATGTGCACACATGTGGACATATACTCAAGAGAGGCAGTGCGTCTACAGAACAGAAATGGAAGGGTAGCTCAGAGATGCTAAGCAGCTGACCCTAGGAGATCAGGATGCATGGTGCACCTGAGTGGGTGACAGTGTGCATGGCGTCTGGGAAGCTTAGCACATGGCTCCAGGTATGCCTACATCTGCACAGCGGGTGTGTACCTGCGTGAGAGCGCATCTTGGACCCACGAGTGTAGGTGTGGACAGAGGCAGCATGGGTACTCCAAGGTGAGCATGCACCCCAGCTACCCCAGCTGGGGAAGCACATTTGCCTACCCCCTCCTCGTGAGGTTGCAAAGCCCCCAGCGGTGGGAGCCCAGGGCAGTCACCTACAGCCAGGACTGAGCCCTGGTGACCTGTGGCAAGTTCTTCGAGGCCCAGAGTGAACTCTGGTGTCGGGGGAGGGACTGGGGGTGGTGTGCTCTGCTCACTTCATCACCCTGGGTTTTCCACAGGGCCTGACTGGCCAGCCATCCACAGTGTAAGACTCCTGGCCTCTACTCTGGGCCTCAGTCTCTTCTTCTGGAAAATGGGACAACAGCACTATCCTCATGGGGCTGCAGTCAAGGTTAAAGGTATTTGTAGCCAGGGGATAACTGCTGTTATTAACTCAGCAAAGCACAGCTCTTGAAGCTGATTTCTGGACATCCCCAGGTTCAGTCAGGAAACCTCAATACTGTTATTAATGACAGCAACAATGAGTTGGGGCAACAGTAATAGTAATAGTAACAGGAGAACCACTCATAGGAGCCATGGCCCTCCGCATGCATGCTCATGCTGTGCACAGAATTGGGGGTCCGGGGGAGTCACACCTCCCCTTGAGTCTTCACTGCTCCACCTGCAAACCAAATATCCAAAGTTTAAATAAGACAGGAGGGGGCAGGGCCAGCTGAGAGGCCTTGGAGCCTGAAGAAAAAGGAAAAATCAGCAACGTTGATCTTCTCTCGATTCATAATTTAATTGATCATGGATTTTGTTTCACTTTTTTGGGGGGTGAGTACATTTGAATTTATAAAGTAGCACTTAAATATATTCTTTAAGCCCTGGCTGGTGTGGTTCAATGGGTTGGGTGTTGGCCTACGAATCAAAGGGTCGCCAGTTCCATTCTCAGTCAGGGCGCGTGCCTGGGTTGTGGGCCAGGTTCCTAGTTGGGGCATGTGAGACGCAGCCACAGACTGATGCTTCTCTCCCTCTCTTTATTAAAAAAAACAATAAAAATATTCTTTATATTGCTGACTGAGTTTTTGGAGGCTGCTCTTCTAATTTTGCGCAAAGGCCTTGCCCTGGTCTCCACTGGCCTGCCTCACAGGAGGGCTGTGAGAAGATTAGAGGTGATTTTGGACATGCAGGGATGTGATGGCACTGATAACAGTAGCATTAGTAACAATGGCGAATCCTTTTTATACTTTCTACGTAGGAGGTGCTGAACGAAGGAATATGTTTCATTGGACCTCAACAATCTATGAGTAGGTAGCATTATTATCCCCATTTTGCAGAGGGGGAAAAGGACACAGAGAGGTTAAGGAATTGGCTTGGCCGTGGGGTCAGCTGGAGTCCCACGCATTCCCTGTATCTATCTCCTTGGGGCCCAGAAGCCTGGGGTATTGCCCCTACTGCACTGGGGGCCTAGGGATGAGAGGGTCAGAGGTCGCTAGGCCAGTATGGATGTCCAGGGTCACCATGGGGACAGAGCGGCCCAGGCCAGCCAGTGGGTGGAACAAGTGGGGCTGTGCCTCCCCAGGAAGAGCTGACCTGGCAGGGAGAGCCTGAGCTCCTGGCCACGGCTGGGCTGAGCTGCTAGTACCACCCCCAACCCCAGGGGATTCCTCCCCCTCCAGCCCCCCCAACTCCATCTCAGGGATATCCCCTCATCTACCCTTCACACACCCTGGGAGTACCCTTTCCATCCTCTGGGGGCTGCAGTCTCCCCACTCCTCTCTCCGACCCCCTACAGGGATTTACTTCAGCCCCTGCCCTTAGCTGCTCTGGGTTCCCCCAACCTCACCCCAATAACTCTTGTGCTCCCCACTCCATCCCTGCGGGGCTTGGGTTCCTCCTCATAGAATCTCCGCGCCCCCCCCCGCCCCCACCGCCGTACACAGGTGTTTCTCTGTTCCTCCATCCAGGTTCCCTATTCACTCAAGGTTTCCTCCCCACCTGTGCTTTCCCTTCCTCCTAACCCTTGAAGGAATCCCGCCCCAACCCCTCTCTGGGACTTCCCCCTTTCTTTCTCTCCCTCCTCCCTCAAGGGGCTCCCCCAGCCCCATGACTCCTGGGGGTTGCCGGGGGTTTTCCTCACTCGCCCACGTGGGTTAGGTGGAAAGGTCTCAGCCTGTGGTTGGACACCCGCCCTCCTTCCCCCACTGCCTGCCTCCACCACCCCAGTTCTCAGGCCAGGCTGCCCAGGCACCAGCCCACCCCTCTGACTGAGGCTGTTCCCAGCTCCCAGCTCCCAGCCCAGGGCAGGGGGTCCAGCGCACTTAGCAGAGGGAGAACAAAGAGGTGGCCGCCCCTACGGTTTCGGTTTAGAGGCAAAAGGCAGTAACATGCCAAGCCCAGCTGGGCCAGGAGCAAGACTTCCTGAAGTACTTTTCTGCTTGTAGATTTTAGTTTGGGGTGAAAAAGGGTGGATTTTTTGTTTGTTTTTAAATTTACTGCCGTGAAGAGGCCCACTCTGGCAGGGAGAAGGCTCAGGTAGGCACACCCTGGGAGGTCACTAGAAGTCTTCCTGTAAGACCCAAGCCAAACCAGAGGCATCTCCGTGGCAGCCTTGCTGTGCTGTCGCAGGTGCCCCCCTGACCTCTCAGGACCTTGGGCTGCGGTGGTGCCAGGGCAGGCGGGGGCTACAGCCCCCCACCCCATTTTGTCTGCATGTGCCCAGAGTTTGGGGTTGGCTCCAGCACAGCCTGTAACAGCAGTGGCACGGCGGCCAGGTTTCGTAATAAACCGGTCTTTTAATTGCTACAGGGCAGGAGGAGGGAGAGAAAAAAAGGAGGCAAAGATTTGTTGGACTTGGGTGGCGCCGGCTGCAGAGAGAAGAGGCACTGTTTTTGCGAAGGAGCCTGGAGCTGCTAACAGGGACTTAAGTAACATTTCCTGGTGAGCCTGCAGGAGGGGTTGGGGGCAGGGCTGCTGCAGTGTGTTGGGTGGGAGGGTGGGGTCCTGGTCCCTCTCCAATGCAGCACAAACACAAGGACCCAGAAGCTTTAGAAATTTATTAAAAGGCCATCATCTAGAAGTAAAATAGATGTATGCATCTGTAAGCTTCCGGTCTCTCTCAGTGGTTCAAGTCACAGTGCAAGTAACAAAATAGATTGTCTATTTAGTTTGCAAACTGGGAGTTCATGGGTACAGAGCAACATCAGCTCCAGTTCCCAAGTTCCAAAGTTTAGTCCTGGCGAGGGTTGCAGACCCTCGTCAACCAAGGCCTGTTTGCAGATGTCAGCTCCAGCCTCAAGAAGGGTGGGGGATGCCACTGGTCTCACCCCACCCTAAAGTGTGGAGTCCAGGCCCTTCCCCACTGCAGCTTCTGCTCTGTCAGAGGCCTGAGCAGAGCTCAGGCCTGAGCTCCAGGGTCCCCTCTCCTGCTGGCCTGAGTTCCCTTCTCCTCTTCTCACGGTGGCCACCACTGGCGCTGTTCCAGGCTCACCACCCAGGGGGTGGCCATGCACTCCCCTCTCCTTGTCTCCAGTCTCCAAGGATTCTGCCCCCGATGGTCTCATTGGTTAGTTTGTTTTGGGGGGTTGTTCTGGGGGGAGGGGGTCAAATATTTATTTTAGTTTTTTGGCAGCAACTCCTCCGACAGGTTCTGATGCTGGGAGGGGTCTCAGCGCTCCTGGAGGGAAATGTAGGGGACCCACTGGTTGTTCCCCCGGCTCTCTTCACAGTAACTGGCTACCTCCACCAGGCTGTGGCTCTTCCAGGCATCTGTGTGAGGGTTCTGTGGGAGAGGGAAAAGATGGGTTTCAGTGGGAACCCCAGGAGTGTGCAGGAAGCCCCGCCTCCCTCTCCCAGGGCCCCTGTGGGGAAAACAGCCTGGCCCAAAATAGCTTGCTGGGTGACGAGGCTGGGACGGGGCTGTCCACGGGACATGCCTGGCGTAGCTGAGCACTGAGCTGGTGCAAGACTGGCCAACTCAACTTTGTTGACAAACACAAGCCCAGGTGCGGGGGCGGGGCAGACCCAGTGCGCCCAGCTCACCGTGACCAGGAGGCAGTGCAGGTCTCGGGGCTCAGTGGTGCCTTGGGTCTCGGCTGGCTCCCCCAGCAGCTGTGCCAGGCGCTGCATGCCAGACACCCGGACAATGTTGATGTCGTTGTCACAGCAAAAGGACTGAATAAGGGTGAAGTGGATCTGCAGGGCAATATCATCCTCCTCTTCCTCGTCAATGGCCAACAAGCACAGGACCACACTGTCAGGGTCGCTGAGAGGGCCAGAAGAAGGGGACAGGTCAGGTGGGGACCTGGGGAGGGGCCACAGTGCACAGGGGAGTTTGCAAAAACAAAAAGGAAGCGCAGGTGTGCAGGGGACAGCTGTGTGCATGCAGCTGGAAGGGTAGGAGAAAGACACACGCTTCAAAGTACTGGGGAAGGTAAGGTAGGAACATAATGGGGTTGCCTGCAAATCATGCAGCCTCAAGATACTGCAGCCCCCTGCTCGCCCCCTCCCCCCAAAGCCCCCTCCCCCCAAAATAAGCAGAGTCAAGCCCTGGCTGGGTAACCCAGTTGGGTAGCTCAGTTGGTTACAGTGCCATCCCCATACACCAAGGTTTCGTTTAGATCTTTAGCCAGGACACGTACAAGAAGTAACCAACCAATGCACAAGTGGAACAACAAATTGACATTCCCCTCCCTTTCTCTCTCTCTAAAAATCTACTTAAATTAAAAAAAAAAAAAAAGCCAGAGTGGTTTTTCAGTGAGGACACTTAGGAAGGCCCCAGCCCCATGCAAAAAAAAGGGTGCAACAGAGAGCATGCAGAGCGGAGGGGGGTCCCCACCCGCGCCCAGCCGGGGGTTGGGGTCTGACTCACACATTCATCAGCTTGGCCGACTCGTACACCCCCACGGTGAGGCGGTCCTGGCACTGCGCAGCCACTAGCAGCTCCTCCACCGCGGCGCTCACCGTCTGCATCCTGGAGTAGGGGAGAGGGGGGTGAGCTCTCGGCCGGTCACCATACCCTCGGCTCCCCGCCTGACCCGGGCAACATCAGTCTACTTACTTCTGTGCTGCGTTGTCGCACGCCACCAGCTCTTCCAGAGTCATGTTGCAGTTATAATCCACAGTGAAAAGCAGCCCACGACAGTCCCAAGAGAGAAAATGCAAAATCCGAAGCCGGAGAGCCAAAAACCTTACTACGGACCCCGAGCGCTCGGAAGGCAGCAAAATCCTCCTGACAGTCGGGAAATACGGAGAAGTCCACGGCAGGAATAATCCAGGCGATCTGACGCCGCGGCGCCCAGCGGCGCCTTTTAGAGGCTTGAGCAAACAGGGGCGTAGCCTCAACTGCCACCCGCCCCGCCCATTGGCTGACGACAAAGGCGATTGGTTTGAGGCAGGGAAGGGGAGGGGCGCAGCTCCGGGGCGTCCCACGTGGGGGCAGAGCTAGGAGGAGGGCGCGGGGGAGCATGAGTGCCAAGAAAAGAAAAAAAGCAGAAGTTTTTTTTCTCCTGATTTCCCGGCAGCCGCGCCGCGTTTCGGGGCGCGCGCGGGATTTCCAGCGCGCGAGGCGGCCCGGACTTTCGAGGGGAGCCTGGAATCCCCTCCCAGTCCCCCGGAGAGTCCCCGGCTTGCACCTTTCCCAGGTTGTGCTAGGGGATTGTAAGGGGAGAGGGTTCTGCTTGCAGGTTGATCCCTCCCGGGTGATGGTGGTGAGTTCTCGAGGCTGCGGGACTCTTAGGCGATGAGTGCCGTAAATTCTCCGGGTCTTTGTGTCCCTACCTGTCTAATGGGCAAGCAATGCCGGCCTCCGTGGGTTGGAAGGAGCGTTAAAAAAAAAAAGTGCACAATAAGCGCTTTAATTAACTGTGGTGGTCGCGGGAGGCAGCCTTGAGACCCCCAGTTAGGGGCTGCAAAGATCCGCCTGTTTCCCCACCTTGTCCTACGAGAACGCACACCAGCCTCATTGGGTTGCAGAAAGCATTACATAAAATAAGGGGTACACAATAAGCACTGAATAAATGCCAGTAGGTGGCCGCAGAAAGTCGCGTCGAGGTTCCCAGAAGCAGGTGCTGCAAAGTACTAGGCGCCCCAGGAACGAACTACGGCGCCCCCTCCCCACTCGCGGAGATTTTCAGGGTGGGGCGTGCGTATGAGGCTTTGGTCTCAGTGCGCCGTACGCCCCCTGCCGGCGTCTCGCGTTCCATCATTTGACAGCACCTGGACACCTGGCCTGGGGAGCAATTAAGGTCGGAGAGAAAGCCTGGGGAAAACGGTTCTTGCTTGCGCCGCACGCTGTCACTTAGGATCCCCTTACAATGATGCTCGCCACTTTTATTTCCTCCGTCTGGGGCGGGCGCTGATTTGTATTAAGTATGTAGTGTACCAGGCTCCCTGTATCATGGTTCATTTAATCCTCAAGGAGCCTGTAAGCAGGGGTCACACTTTATCTGCATGATGCAAAAGGGGAAATTGAGCCTTGGTGAGGCTGCTACTGCCTTAAGCCTCCGTGTACTTGTTCTTGGAGCCACACTTGTACACCAGGAATCGGCTCACAGCCTCCTTGCGAAGGCAGTTCACGAGCCAGGTGGGCGGGCTCGCGGGGGACTGTCTCCCACGGACGATCGGGGGCTCCCGGGTGACTCACAGTTGTGTCCCCTCCCTGCCAGCCAGGGATCTGGCCTCGGCCCCAACTCTTGGTTCCCGAGACTCTCCGGCTCGCGACTCGGCTGACGCATCGCACCGCCTCCTCACCGCCCACTTTGGAGTCTCAAAAGGTCTTGAGCACTGAGAGGCGTGGCGGCGCCACCTGATGGCCGATCTGAGTCTCTGCGCCGAAAGAGACGAAGAGACAGACCGGCTGGGGCGGCTGCGCGGGGTGAGAAGGGCTGGGACTCCGATGACAGTGCAATATTTTATATGCACAATACTTGACATATACAACATGCATTTAATAATATCCTAAGGCAATATTTTACTTTTTTAATTTGTTGATTTGAGAGAGAGATAGAAACACTGGTTTGTTGTCCCACTTATTTATATATGCATTGGTCGTTTGTTTCTTGTACCTGCTCTGACTGGGGATCAGACTTGAAACCTTGGCCCTTGACATCTGGGGACGTCGCTCTAACCAACCGAGCTAGCCAGTCAGGGCCTAATGCAATATATTTTTAAAAAATCAATACTTATGCCTCCCAAAAAACTCATGATACACAAAATATCAAGATTTTAAACTGTAGACAGGACTTAAGGGAATGCCAGAGAGGTGAGGGTGAAGGTGCAGGGTCAGGTCCTGTTTATTCACAATTTCGATTTTTTAAATTTATCATGGGTTGTTTTTTGTATCGATTCTGTATTAAGAAAATACCCGGGTGATTGAGTTTTTTGGTGTCACCTTACATTTTGCTCGTGAGACTAGCACCTCACTCACTTTACCCTAGGCCCAGCCCTAAGGATGTCCCTGCCTGCCCCAAGGACAGGTGACCCACAAGCCCCCCACAGGAGAATGTGTGAGGCAGGGACTTACTTGCCCAGACAGAAAAACGGGCATATCCACTCCCACCTTGCAAACTAGAGTCCATAAGGGTAATTATTCTTTTTGCTAATGTTGTATTGTATTGCATATATTAATAAACAAACATTTATTGAGTGCTTACTACATGATAAGCATTTTGTAAGCAGTTTCTACATCAGTGCCCATGGTAGCACTGGTGTGATTGTTCCAGGTTTGCCAAGGAAGGAACAGAGACTGGGGAAGACAGTGTTACTGGTTCAAGGGCACAGAACTGGAGTCTCCTAAGGATATTCCCAGATACTATATGTGTTCCGAGATGGGCAGGATGTTACGACAGGATGTTTGGAGTCTAGAGAGAGAGGACTGGGGAGGGATATGGGTCAGGGAGGTCAGACTGGGGTGAGACAAAGCGAAGTGAGTCCTGAAGGACGAGTATTTGTTTTCCTGGTAGAGGGCACAGTCCAGACAAAGCTTCGGCCTCTGGGGAAAGACTGTTATGGCTGATGCAAAGGAAGGACCTGAACACATTCTTTGAGGCCCTGCTTTGCCCTCTTTAGCTGAGGAGAGCAAATTTTAGGCGCAAAATTTAAGGGGGCCCCCGAATACTCAGTATTAAGATAATTTTTATTCTCACTGTGAAAGTAAGATTTAATTCACATACCATAGAATTCACCTATTTCGAGTGTCCAGTTCAGCGAATAGTCACAAGTCCATGCAACTGTCGCCACTAGTCCAGAATGAGATCCTATTTTCTATGTGATGGTTTAAGGGAAAACGAGTGTTACAACATCCATGGTGAATGGAATATTGAAATTTCCCACCAAAACAGATCAGTAACAGCACCACACCAGGCCTATGGGAGCCCAGGCCAAAAAGAAAAACACATGATTGATGCTGTCTGAAAGGTTTTCTTAGGCTCTGCCGAGGAAGAAATGCCAATCAGCCACAAAGTTAGGCAGTATAGAGCTTTATTGGGGTTTGCGCGCCCGGGCGAGGTTCTCTGGTCCGCAGAGTGGGGCCAGGGAAGTCACGCCCAAGTGGGGAATATGGCAGGATTTTATTTTGGTTGGCTCTCTTCGTGGGAGCTGGGGATTGGTCCCCTTTGAACAAAGCGGCAATATATCATTGGTGGTTCTCCTCGGGCTCACGTTACTCTGCGGATATCCATTTTGACAAAGCCTGCCCTTTCAGCTCTCTGGTTTGACATCAGCCGTCTTTTCCGGGTTGTAGTTCAGCTGCCATTTTGTCCTACCCCGCCCATCCTGACACTGTCTCGATTTTTCTTTTTTTCTCTATTTTTAAATTTATTTTTCAAGTACAGTATTCTGTCTTTTACTCCCATCCCAGCCCACCCCCTCAATTTTTCTTAATTTTGAAAATGTCTCCAGCATGAAAATGTTCTTGTGCATGCATTTTTTTAATTGCACTAAAATGATTTTTTATCGTGACTGAGTTTTTGCCTCACACTAGAACATGAGCCTTGCTTCTTGGGACACCCTGTTTTTAAACCCTAGTCCCCTATAAACAAACTTGGGGGTGTTCTCAATGGACAGAGGGCAAACCAAGGCTCCAGGAAGTTGGGGAGTTAGTCTGCCCAGGAGGGATAGATCCTGGGTTCCCTCCCAGGTGGTAGCTGGAATGTGGATTATGGGTCGGGGCCTGGGAGGGACATCTGAGCGAGGTGAGTGCAGAGCTAAGGCCCCTTTCCTTGCAGGAGGTGTCGAGGACCTAATGTTCTTGTCCCCTACAAATTCACATACTGAAGTCCTCACCCGAAGTGGGATGATTTTAGGAGGCGGGGCCTCTGGAAGGTGACTGGGGTTGGATGAGGTCATGAGCGTGGGTACCTGGGGTGGGACTGGTGCCCTTATAAGGAGAGGAAGAGAGATCAGTCTCTCTCTACTATGTAGGATATGGAGAGAAAGTGGCCTCTCTATAAATCAGGAAGTAACCCTCACCAGGAACTGACCCGTGATTGTGCACTTCCAGCATCCAGAACTGGGAGAAATAACGTGTACTGTTTTTTACAAAAATATTTATTTGTTTTTAGAAATTGGAGAAGGGAGGGAAAAAGAGGGATGGATACATCAATGTATGGTTACGTCTCTCATGCCCCCAACTTGGAACAAGGCCCACAACCCAGGCCCGTGCCCTGACTGGGAATTGAACCAGTGACCCTTTAGTCCGGCACTCAATCCACTGAGCCACACCAGCCAGGGCATAAATGTCTGCTGTTTAAGTTGCCCGATCTATACCATTTCGCTAGGGGAGCCTGAGCAGTCCCAGATAGGAGGAATATGAGGGGCTGAGGTAAGGAGAATGGGGGGCAGACAGAGCCTCCTGAAATAGCACATGGGAGAGGGTAGAGGTGACCAAGGATCCATCTGACTGCCTAGGTTTGCATTCCAACTTCTCTGCTGACCAGTGGCGTGAGCTTGGGCACATCAGTTTCCCCATCACATCCTCATGCCTCAGTTTCCCTTTCTGCAAATTGAAATCCTAACATTATCCAGGCCGTTCTGAGCATGCAATGAGTTCATTCTGGCCCATACTTAGAACCCACTGGCCTGAGCATAGGACCCACTCAGTACATGGGGCTGTTATCTAGCTAGTAGACATTAACTGAAGGTCTCCTGGGTGGTGATCCATAGCTACTTCGGGTGGAGTGGTTGGGTGGGCTTCTCTAAGGAGGTGACCTTTGAGCTGAGACCCGAGTGACATGAAAAAGGCTTGGGAAGCTGTGAAGGGCTGTGTTCCAGGCATCACACCTGCATGGGCTCTGCAGC